GCATGCAAAAGCCACATTTACAAAAAATATACCTAAAACAGCAATTCAAAATACTATTAAAAAATTTAAAAGAAAAAAAACACACCTGGATTTCACATTGAGGCATATGTTCCTAAAGGAACAAACTTTAGCTTGTTAAACACCAAACTATATAGTTTTAAAAGTATTTCCAATAAGGCAGCCCATGATTGGATGTTAAATTCCATAGGTATTACTGAGGTTGGGGTCAGTGTAGTTTTGAAACTTTTAAGGTTTCATTCACAATCATTTTTCAGTGCCTATTTTGTGTAGAGCCTGGGATTCCAAAAAATTATTAAGAAAGAGAGATTGCAATGGTGACATCCTTTTGGGGAGCAATAATAAAGTATATACAAAAGGTAAATATCTGTTAATGATATCTTATAGAAAAAGCCAACTTCAGGGACCAAGACCTGGAGTTATCTGGGTAATCAAAGGGGAGAGTCGCCAGAGGCTGGTTTAGAAAAGAAAGGGGCTGGTATCCACTCCCTTATCAGAAGCAGTTAGAGCAGCACAGTTCAAGGTAACTTTCCCCAATCATGGGAATGGTCTATATCTGTGCTGGCTCCCCTTCACATGGCAATATCATTGAGATAGAAGGATAACATGAGAAAAAGTATAAAAGCATATGAGCGCGTGGATAGTTCTGAGAGCAAAATACTGCCTAGTTTATTGGGTATGATTAATGCTAATCCAGGAAAGGAAACTTAGAGCTGGAGCATACATAACATATTTGAGGACAGAGGGCCATTTAAGTTTTTGGGACATATAAAAAGGAAGAATGTCTGGGATTGAGTGGAAGGAGTGAGGAGAGGCTGAGGTCAGGGAAGGAATCCTTGCCTAGTCCAGACTGAAGTTAATAAGAATCTGCACTGGAGTGCTGTTAACACAAAGCCATGAGATCTGTGATAACAGGGAGAAATTAACAAATCTCCATGACTAACAATGTGGAAAGTACGCAAGAGGGAAGTCAAAGGTAATACACAATTTTGAGCTGAATGATGTATGTGATAAAAATGGGAAAATGCAATGGCTGTCTTCTGTGAGAGACTAATTCTAAACTTGCTTATAGAAATGTTGACGTAAACATGGTGGCAGGCCATCCTGCACTGGAGTTGGCCAACAGGTAGTCGAAGATGCTGAACTGAATTGAAGCCCCTAAGAGAGTAGAAAACAGAGTGGCTGTGGTAATTCCTGTTGACACTGAAAATTAGAAAAGGGAGTTTTGTATGGGAGTGGTTGGCAACTGGCACCCTACCAAGACAATAAAGTCATTATTCCCAAACTGTGTGCCAAGGCACCCTCAGGTACCACATAGAACTCCTAGAGGCATAGTGGATAGTTTACACTTTTGAAGGAAACAGAGCAACATCTGTTGGATATGGTGTGAACTATTAATATTAAATTGTACCTTACTGTTTAATAAATAGAATTGTTCTTTTATTTATTTTAGCCTAAGGACATGATAAAAAATAACTGAGATACTAAGGGTGCTATGAACTGAGAAAATTTAGGAATCTCTGGAATAATAAAAGTTAAGTCCTGAGAAATAGCCAATAGGTTTAGTAACAAGAAGGTTTTTATAATCTTAAAGCAAAATCAGGTGAATTCCAGTGGTTGGAGCAGAAGTGAGATGGTGACATTGAAGAATGTGGGGTTGGGGTGCAGCAGCTTTGGAGGCACCAATTTTTCTTCCATTTTAGGGATAGAAGTGAAGGAAAGTTCAAAGGTGGAACAAGAGTTCAAGATTCTGGGACCATAAGGAATATGAAGATGTATTTTTATGCAGAGGGAATTTATCCAATGCAGATAGGAAATGTGAGACGGGAAAATGAAATGGTGGATGGATTAGGTCCTGCTGCAGGGGGAAGAAGGCAGGGTGGAAGGCAAAGGCAAGAACCTTTCTCTTGGCAGGAAGGGAAAGTAAACCAAGTTAAGGACCTACAACAAGGTCTGTTAGGAATTGCACGTGTGTTTTCCCTTGAAGCATTCACAACTAGCCCAAGAGAGAAAAATTTTCCCTGTTACAGAGATGAAGAAGCTGAGTTTGGGGTAATGAAGAGAATGCAGATAAAGTTCTAAAGATCTTTTGAGACGGAGAAGAGAGAAGTTGAAATGGTTTCTTCTAGATTCTCTCCATCTTCCTCAATCATCTGGACAGTGCTTCTCAGACTCTAATGTGCACGTGCATCTCCTGGGAATCTTGTTGAAATGCAGATTCAGATTAGTTGATCTGCGGTAGGGCCTGAGAATTTACATTTCTAATGTGCTCCCTGGTGGTACCTGTGCTGCTGTTCATGGACCGCACTTTGAGTAGCAAGATCTGGAAAGCCAGGACATCAGCTCAGAGTCTCTAGAACAGTGCCAGGTCTCAGTAGGTGCTTGACAAATATTCATTGGATTGTGGTTGAACTGAATAGTTTAGATGACACGTATGTGCTGGAAACAAAGAAGGAGGGAAGTAGTTCTACAAAGGGTAAGAATACGTGCAGCAGCAGGTCTGAGGGAAGGCAGAGAGCTTCTGTAGAACCTGGAGGGAGTGCGGTGCTGGCACTTATGTGTGGGCTGACACCAAATCAAAAAAGTCAGAACTGAGTGGGCAGAAGGACTAAACTCAAGTTTAGTCTCTTCGCTGCATGGATGTCGATGTTGCTAAGGATGAGGGCAGTAGGTAGGTGGAAGGGAAGCAGTAAATGTGAACAGATGCTGGCATAGTCGAGAAAATATGAAAATATTCTGGAGTTGGGTGAATGATGGAGATGAGAACGTGGAAACAGAAGTATGAGTGTTATTGAATTCAAAAGAGTTGCTGGGAGACTTAAAAGTGGCCTGCAAAGTGAGGGAGGGTTCACCAAAGACCCCTCCCTGCCAATGCCGAGTGTGACAAAGCACCCAAATCACCAGGAGAGATTCTGAGAATGGTGGTTCCCAGACTCTGCGCTTAGACATTTGGAGTCCACAGGCCCTGGAATCTGTATTTTTAAGAAGTTCCTCCAAGTGACTGGATGTTGCAGCCAAGGTGAGGGATTCCTGGATCACCTTCTCTAACTCCCTGAGGTGAATGAAAGAGGAGAATGGCCCTCTGGGGAAGGGAGGGTGCCGGCAAGAGGACACTTTCCGCTAGAGTAGAGGCATTGTGTTGTAGGACTCCCTGAGGAAATGGCCAGAGTCTTCGCATACTGGAATTTTACATCTAGACAGTTTGATAAATGGCACAACTACAAAGTAATATCTCATGATTTCTTTGATTGTTATGGTCATGATCAGGCAATCTCTTTTGAATGATCAAGTAGGCTTTCTGCTGGCCCAAGCTCCAGTGAATATTTGTTCAGATTTAATCCACTTCACAGATGAATGCCTCAAATCTCATGTTAATTTTAAATGAATGTGGATTCTTTATAATTCTCTCATGAGCTGTGGAGCCTGACTCGTCTGGATTTGTGCCCAGCTCTGCCGCTTACCAGCTCTGTGGCCCTGAGCCTGGAACTTGATCCACGTGTGTCAATGCGTCCATATGTAAAACAAAGATAACAACATCGACCTCACAGGGCAACTCTCAGAATTAAATACGTTAATATTAATACGTGTGAAACTCTTTAAACTGTGCCCAGCATATATAAATTATCAATGAAATTTTGCTAAATTATGATGATATTGCCTTGTCACTATTATAGCTACCACTTAATCGTTTAAGACTAGTCAACTCACCTGCTTTGTATGTTTTTGGGAAAGAGACTCCCCATCTATGGGAACCAGAAGTGGGGCCTTTCAAAGAAGTCCACATCATCTATTTGGTGCTTCGGTAGGAAGGGTTGAGTCTAGTTGCTACAGCGGCCTGAGCAATGACAGAAGGTCCTGTTCCTCATGTGGTAAAAAGAAAGAAGTTGGCAAGCAAAATTACCTTCATGTAATTGACAAGTATTTATTGGGCATCTATTGAATGTTAGGAATTGTCTGGAGTACAAAGGATATGAAAACATAGTCAATGCTCTCTGGAAGTTTGGTTCAATAAGAAAATAGATGCAAGACAATGAATAATTGTATTCACAGTGAAGTAGTCAAAGTTCAATGACAAGGCTGGGCATGATGGCTCACCCCTGTAATCCCAGCACTTTGGGAAGCCAAGTCAGGAGGATCCCTTGCCACCAGGAGTTTGAGACCAGCCTGAGCAACATAGCAAGACCCCATCTCTACAAAAAAATTAAAAAAAAAAAAAACCCTAGCAACTCAGGAGGCTGAGGTAGGAGGATCACTTGAATCCAGGACTTTGAGCTTGCAGGGAGCTATAATGACACCACTGCACTGTAGCCTGGGCAACAGAGCAAGATCCTGTCTCAAAAAAAAAACAAGAAAAAAGTTCAAGGGCAGCACGAAAGAGGATTTCTGATGTTCTTTGTATCAACTGGAAGTTACCCACACAAAGACACAAACATCAGTTCCTAAGATGAGTAACTCATGGCATCTTTGAAGCAATTCAACAATGAAGAATTGTAACTCACTCTTGATTATAACTTACATTTGTATCATATTCGTTTTTATTTTAAGCTTCACAGTACCTCCAAGAGATAAAGGCAGTGATAATCCCATTTACAATCAAGAAAATGTAGGTTCAGAAAATATAGGCCCTTGCCCTAAATCACACTTTTAATAAGACATAGAGTAGAGACTGGAACCTGGTCCACACTGTTAGTTGTCTTTGAACTGAGCCAAGCTGTAGTAACTGCCCCAACAATCTGTGAATTCTGTTTTACTCAAAAGAGATAATAAGAATAATTTCATATTAAAATACACAAGCCTAGATTATGTCATGGTTCTAAATTATGTCCTCATTGCTAGTATTAGATGTCTGGCAATTTTAACTTTTGCTAAACATCCATTATACATTTTCTAACTGTAGATACTGTTGTTTGGGGTGGGTGTGGGAGGGAGGAGGCTCTGTTTGTGATCATGTAAAACAGCAATCTGGCATTTTCTTTCCCCAGCTTATTCAAAAGTTGACAGATGTTGCTGAAGAGTGTCAGAACAATCAGCTAAAGAAGCTCAAAGAAATCTGTGAGAAGTAAGCTTTCATTCCCATTACAATCCACACGTGTATCTAAATTTATTAAACACGAATTCCTATTTGATTTTCCTCTTTTTCCCCCATTTACTTCCATTTTGACTTCAGAGAGAAGAAGGAATTAAAGAAGAAAATGGATAAAAAGAGGCAGGAGAAGATAACAGAAGCTAAATCCAAAGACAAAAGTCAGATGGAAGAGTAAGTAGAAATCACTTCCTCTCCCTGACATTTTACCTGGAAATTATTTTTTTCTGTGTATCAGAGCAACAAGTTCTTAACCACACAAACGCCCCTCTGAAGTTTCTCCTCTAATTAACCTTTCGAAAGATCTCTTTCATAAGGTTTTTTATAGTGAACTATCAAAGGGCAGTTCAATAAAGATTTGAGGCGCACCCAGGGTCTTTTGGATGAAGAGTAAGCAAAGAGCTCCCCTCAGGGAAAGGCTAAATCCTCACCTCCCACACCAGGCAACCTTCCTGGCATTTAGTGAAAACAGAGCTTGTGCCTTGGGAGGAAGCTGACCTTTGTCGAGAGGCTGGAGGATTGTTTCTTACTTTTAATGGTATTAATAATAAGAATGTTTGAGATTCGTGTAAACTTTCGTCTAGAAGATTAAGGGTCCCATGTTTGTTGATTCCAGATGAGATGGTGTAATGATCTCTTGGTCATTTGCTTTTAGGGAGAAGACAGAAATGATCCGGTCATACATCCAGGAGGTGGTGCAGTACATCAAGAGGGTATGTGGGTTCACCACTCTCTCTCCTTTGCAAACCATGTGTGAATATTCAGGGAGCTCATTGTGAGCTTCCGGAAGGAAATGCCATTTTGCCTTGTTGTATTTCTTTATCGCTAGTGCCCAGCAGAGTTGCTGCACAGCGTGGGCACTCCGTACTCAATGCTTCTGCAAGGTGAATTGCAAACCACTGTATAAAAGGGTTCGTCTAAAGGTAGAATCATTTCCACAGTCAGGAGCCCAGAAGCATGGTGTGAAGGGGAGTTTTCCCAAAAGAAACTTCAGTTGTCATCAATGGTAAAGAAGATGGCAACCTCCCAGGGCCGTCTTTCTTATTTTTTTTTTTTTTAAATTTGATGTTAGGGCAATGTTCAAACACTTACAAAAATGTAAGAACAGTGCAGTCCACTGAGCACCACCCCCTACCTCTGTGTTCCCATCACCCAGCTTCAACACTGACTACAGTCTCCTCTATTCGCAAGGGCAGTTCTTGACCAGAATATCAAACCAACTGTAAGCCATAGGTCTGAAAAGCTTTCAATTCTTTCTGAAAATGTGCACTTGAACATTTAGATGAAAATGACTTTCCCTATCACTTTTCTTATAGTTAGAAGAGGCACAAAGTAAACGGCAAGAAAAACTCGTAGAGAAACACAAGGAGATACGTCAGCAGATCCTGGATGAAAATCCCAAGGTAAGTGGAATTAAATAATAATGCACAATTATTTTATTTTATTTCATTTCCATTCAGTAAGAATAAAACCTTCCTAGTTCATGTAAGTACCTCCCAAACAGTCTCAGATCAGTGCTCACCTGTGAAACTCACATGTCTTTCTCAATGAAGGTAAAAATGCAGCAATATTCAGTAAGCATTTCTCATCCACTGGTGAGCTTTTAAAAACTGCAAATGCACAGAACCCACCTCCGGAGATCTGGCTTAGTTAGACTGGTCTTGAGGGTGGCTCAGGCACTGGTATTTTTAAAGTCATCACTCCCGCCCCCAGCTGATTCTAGTGTGCAAGATGGAGAATCAGAGACTAAGTAAGCAACATCCTTACTTCAGTTCTAAATATCTGATGCAATGTTGCAATGCCAGGTTCTGTCCAACAGAGGATGCTCTGAACCAAAATCATCCTGATTTTTCTCCAACAAAATATTCTCATAAATCAGGAGAAAAAAAAAAAAAAACAGATCTTCCCCACCCCTCCCCCCACGGTAACAGTTTATTGGGGCTTCGCTTTAAAATTATCTTGTGCTCATTGTTTGGTTAAAATTAATTGTCTCATGAATGTCAACTTTAAATGAACTGAATATAAATCAGATACTTTCAGGTTAGCAAATATTAATAGCATCTCAGTCTTAAAACATTTCATCCATTTTGATTCATCACTGAATATTTTTCTGTTTGTGAAAAATGTGTTTTTCCATTTTCCTGCCCTTCTGTCTGCAGTTTAAAATATCTACTCTAAAAAACACTGCCATTCCACACAAGTATTTTTTGAGTCCTCATAGCTCAAAAGTATTAGTTTTATTTCATTGTATATTCCATTCACCAATTTAGTTCTTACACATTTCTTGCGGCTAATTCTAAATATATTTTCATGGTTATTTCTGCTCTTCTGCTTTCATATATTTATTGTACAGGACATTTATTTCATATTTTTGATTTCTAAAGTTTTTAGGCTTGGCAATATAGATTCTCAAGTAAGAATTAATAAATTACTTAGATATGTTGCTAATTCTTATGCTTCTCGTATAAATATACAATTCCGATATTCTTAGCCATCCTTAGCGGTGAGATATTTAATTCAGTCCTTAAGTGTATGCAGTTTATAGTTTTGTTTGAGATGTGTCCTTTTATGAAAACCATAGCTGTAGAATTCTTACGATGGACACAATAAATACTGGCCAATCTTCTGACTCAATGATATAACTGGATTCCTTGGGATTTCCATACCTAGATTTGCCAGAGCCAATAGGAAAAAGTTTATGTGTTCAAAAGGTGTTAGAAACAACTCAAGAACCCAACTGCCTGTGCAAAGAAACCATGCCTTTGTGGTCCTGCTCAACTCTGAACTGATCCGTTATAAAAATGGATCTTCTGCCTTTTTCTGGACACTTCAATGAGATTTATTTTAACATGGTGAAACATTGCTAATCATGAGCTGCCTTGAATCTGCTACAAACATCCCAATGTGTATTGATCACTTTGTAGCTACTGACTCATTACAAGAAGAATCATCTTTCGAGGGGACTTTTTAATGAACTGTCTCCATAACCTCATAAAACATTTGATAAATGTGCAGTTCACTTTTTCTCTGATGCTTAATTTGTCTTTGTTGCTTCTTAGAACACAAGGTTTCTGTTTTAATTTCGCTCATCATCAAGAGAGAATTCCAGGAAGCTTTAGGGCATTTTAATTCATTCCCAAAGAACATTTCACCATGTAGCTACTGGCTCTCTTTTTTTTTTTCCTCCACCAGGGAAATATAGACTGATTTTCCTCATTTCCCCTCTGACATCTTTGTAACAGGGTGAGTGACTCATCTCCCTGCATGAAGTTAGTCTTGTCAGACCTACCGCTGGGCTCTGAGACAGACTCCTGAATGTGGCTGGTATTTCCCCCAGCGTTCAGGAGAGAAAAGACTAACTTGGGGATTGAAAGTAAACTTTTTTTTTTCTTAAATGATTTATTTGTGTCTCTAATCTTTGGCCACTAATGGGGAAATGTGGATTCTCCCTGCCAACACCTACTGGGTCTCCTAGAAGCCAGACCACGGAGTGGGGACTGGCTTCCTTGTAAACTGTGTTTTGTTCACTGTCAAGTCTTGATTGACTAACACGGTCGTTTGTTTATATTTGTTCTATGGAAGAAATCTAGTTTTAATTTTTATCAATTTAAAGAATTGCCTTTTTAGAAAACATAGCTTCCATTGTTGAATATAATTTTCCTTCTGGGCAGTACCAGGACATGGGAACCATTTTAATTCCCTTTGTCCACGGTCCGCTTATTTTTGAAATTTACTTTAATCCTACAGACTTTTAAACACATAAAACATTTTTATTCTATGTTATACAATCAGTGTCCATTTAGATTTGTCTGTATATTCACAGCCTTCTTTGCTGTATGTTCTTTCTTGTGTCTCAGACGGTCCATTTGGGGTCATCCTCTCGTACTTCCTCTGGAAGTTCCTTGCATGTGGTCTACTGGTGATAAACTCTTCGGGGTTTTTATTTTTGTTTTTGTCCAAAAATGTCTTTACTTCTTTAAAGTGGATGAGAATCTACATTTCCTTCATTCTGGAATGATATTTTCACTGGGTATAGAATATTATGTTGGCAATTATTTTCTTTTGGCACATTGATGATAAAATTCCACTGTTCTCTAGATTCTATTATTGTTGATGGGAAGTTAACTGTTAGTCTTTTAATGTAGTTTTTTTGACAATAATTTGTGTTTTCCCCCATTTAACTTAATTTAGATTTTTTTCTTGTATTTTATGCATTTTTTAAATAACATATCTATATATGTGTTTGAGGTGGCTGAATAGATAACTCTCATCAGTTCTGTAAAATCTCTCAATTACCATGTAAGCAAATACGGCTTCTGTTGACTTTTTTCCTTTCCTTCTAGGACTCCATATATATATTTGCATATAAAATAAAATGGACCTTCTTACTCCATCTTCTCTGTCTCTTAACTCTTTTTAGTATTTTCCACCTTTTTGTCTATCTCTGCTGCCCTGTGGACAATTTTTTGCTGACCCTTTTTCTAATGCACTAATTCTTTGTTTAAACTGCTATTCTACTCATCTACCGGTTTTTAATTTCAGGTTTTGTATTTCATTTTACTTCTATGTGCTAATTTTCAAATCTACAATCTGTATGTCCTAGCTTATAGCAGAGAAGCTTCCTGTGAGATTCCTCCCTCTGGGCAGGGCTCAGGTTTTGAGTGTACGCTCCTCACCCTTCAAGGCTGTCAAAAGATGAACTCAAAAATTCCAGCAGTGGCAAAAAAAAAGTGAGGGCAAAAGCAGCTTCCAAGCTTATTACCTGTCTAGGTTCAATGTCCCCTTCAGTTTGGGCCTGATCATTCTTTAAGTTTTTGTGGTTCTTAGAGTGTTTAAAGATAGCTTAATATCGTACCCAGCCTTTTTAGTTGTTTTCAGTGGGAAGCATGGTTCAAATAACCTAACCAGCCATTACCAGGAATAAAGTCTCCACATAGTGTTTCTAAAATTTTTGAATTCGTTAACATCTGTACCAGTCTGGATTCAACTGGAGAAGCAGAGCCAGTAGGAGATCGCAGGTGTGTGAGCTACAGGGAACTGGCTTATGCCATCGTGGTGGCTGGCTATGCGCAGTCATCACAAGGCTGCCCCTACTTTCGATGCTGACCCCCAACAGCCAGCCAGTCCAGGAAGGAAGATTACGAACAGGGATGGCTGGAGTAACAGAAGCTGAAACTTTTTGTCACAGAGTTGAACACACACACACATACCTGGCCCAGGAGTCAGACAACTAAAACGAGACCCAAGGCGAAAGGGAAGTGGTTGCAGACCCAGCTGCTGCCTCACAACAACCAGACGAATCGACAGGTCAGCAACAATGCCTACGTGCTACAAAATGGCTGCTGCCTCCCTCCTCAGCCCTCCAGCTCTTGGAAGAATCCCCCACATCACCCACCATAACAGAAAGGGAACTCTGGGAAATGTCAGTCATCTGAGCCAAGTGGACACATTAAAAACCATCACTATTATGTAGAAATTGGAAAAAATTTCTTATTTAAAAAAAACCATTCCATTTCTTTTGAAAAAATAGGTTAGAGGATTATAATATAAACGTACAAACAAATCTCTAGAGCTGAGAAGAGACTGCCCCTTTTGCCTGCATGGTACTCGCTAGGATTTCTGTTGTCTGTTGGCCTCCACGAAGCAACTGAGTTTGAAACTTAAACAAAATTATAACTTAGATTCACCTGGATGCTATTGATTCCTCCACCTTTTCTTTACCTCATCAACTTTCTTTCCCCTTCCTTTGTCCATATTTTTCTTTCCTAAGAGTGAGAAAACATGGGAGTATGGCGATGGATGTACTGGATAGAGGGCAGGATCAGAAGAGAATTCTCACCACCTGCTAGAGTAGAGGTTTATGTGTTGGTGGGGTTCGGAGTCGCCCCAGCAAACACTGAATTTAACACTAGGAATAGGATGAGACGAGGTTTCATCCCATTGGCTTTTACCTGCCCGCCTGGCACACACACAAAAAATCCACACAGTAATGAATGGAAAACCTTTTGAGTTTACTGCTGCTTCTCCTTCTGTGTGCCTATCATCGTGCATGATTTATATGAATTTTGCTAATACTAATTAGATTTTTTATTCCCAATGTATCTCTAGTTTTTGTTGTTGTTTTTTAAAGTCCGGCTTTGTTATAACTAAGTAATGAAAATATTCCAACACACACACACCCCAAATGCTTTTTAAAGCAAAGAATGTAAAAATTTAATTGATTTCCAGAAACCCTTATCAGATTTATCTGTGGCCTTCAACATTTTGAGGGAAGGGATGGCCAACCTGAAACCAACAGAAATATAGTCATCCCTCAGGCATCTGTGGGGGATCGGTTCCAGGATGCCCAGCAGATACCAAAATCCACGGATGCTCAGGTCCTTAACATAAAATGGCATAATAT